TGGAATGAAACTCAGAAATATCGGATTCATATCTGACAAATGAATGGTAAGCTGGAAAATAAGGATTTATTGAAGGACAAGCCAGCCGACATTTAAATCAGTATTCTCTTGATCCATTTCAAAGATGTTTCGCCAAATTACAAATCTTAGTTTCTAGTTTGTGTTCTGGGAAAAAGAGTATTTGTTTTGCTTCCAAAGTTGACTGTGATATATGGTCTCATCTTTTTTCGCAAACTTCTTCCTCATGTTTTCTAATCCCTTAACTTTGTCCCGCCCCAGTTTCATACTTCGCTTGTAGTTGCGTTATTCTTTTCCCATAATTCCTTTTTTTTGGCTTGCCGTGACATTGCGTCAGTCTTCTTTGTCACAGATAGTTTTCCTTTCATCAAGCAGGAAGACCTGAGTCAAAAAGACACAAAAACCAGCGGTCTATAAAAACTTTGGGAGATACGAATGGAAACGTCAGCGTACCTACTTTTCTTCTTCCAATGTCTGTCTGTAGTTGTGATGAGCAGGGGTCTGTAGTTGCACATGCATTGTAGCTTTAACTGTGTAGATATACGTACTAATGAACAATTTTATTTTTGACTAAATTTCTTTCAATTTAGTTGAACGAAGTAAAGAACGTTTATAAAGCATCAAAGCAAGATCTAGAACATCAACTGGCTGCGCTGAAAGAGACTCTGGGACAGAAGGAACAAGAAATTAAAGTGAGGTTTCGAAAGTTGGCAAACATACTTTTCAAGAAACCCTTTAGTTTCTCTCAAAACAACTTCTTTCGTCTAATTCTGGCCCTGTGGCGAATGGTGTGATGGGGAGTGAACAGGTAAGAAGGAAGATTTGCAGTTTTGGCGCACTTTTCCCTGCAAAACGTTGATATAGGAAAGCGAGGCAACGATTAATCCACTAAATTCCGGGCAGAACATTATCGAAATTCGCATAAATAGGGTAAAAATAATCAGCGATTGATTTTTGTTAGTCTTGTAAATTTTTTTCCAGCTTGCATTAAATCAGAAATCGCTCAAGTTACTGAAGACAGAGAACGTCGCGCTCTTCCTTACAGTTGAATTTTTCGACTTCGAAGCTCAATTGTCGCCTCTAATTAAAGCACCGAAGTAACAAATTTTTTCCAGCTAAACGGTTAAAAAAGAAGGTACTGTTCTGATGGCAATTGCCTACTTATTAGCTGCCTGATTTTGTTGTCCCAATGGAGTTACTCTTGGCAAAGTGCTGCTACAGTTGATATTGCATACGATGAGCAAAGATAGTTAATGCAATTTCATTTAAGTGCCACTGAAGAAGCAAATGACTTTTATCCCTAAACAAGTCATTTTGGCTGCGTAAGAGATAATTTAAAAAAATTAAAAAGAAAGAAAGGATTATTGATGCCACGTTAGTCGTATTCTATTTCACGCAACTTTCTGTCCCTCAGCCGATGAGGTACCTGGCTAAAATGCATGGCTCTAACCTGTGTGATCGGAGAAATTGTAAAAAACGAAAATGAATATTGGCACAAAATATTTCTCCGATGCGAACACTCACAATTATTGCATACATGGGGGTCCGTACCTAAAAAGAATCGTAGCAAAGAGGAATTTGTCTGTGACAAAGGATATGACCTTTTCCGCAGTAGTCAGTAATATCTAACGTAAATTTAAGAAGCCGCATCAACCAGGTCAAACTACCTTAATCTTTGCAACCTAGCTGTTCAAACTTTGTCTAGTTTCTTTGTAATGATGATTGTACAGACAACAGTAGCATGGTGCTATTCACACAGTCAAGCAGTTCATTTCCTTTTTGCCACCAAAGTGCATTTAGCAAGGTCGCTAAAACAGTATTCTGGAAAGGTTAAGATGCACCGACAAAAGGGCGTCACCATTTTTCTCGAGAATGGAGCGAGAAATAAAACGTGAATATAGAAGGTTGCTTTAAGGTCAGTTGAAAAATTACTTCACATACCTGCGTAAAATAAAAAGTTAGGTTTGAGGAGTTGTGTCATCGTCCTTGCATCCGGAGTCCATATATAGAAGACTTTCCCACTTAAATTGATCATTTGCAATAGAGGCAAAATTTAATTCGATTAATTTAATTCAGGAAATATGTGAATGTTTCTAACTCAGACAGCAGACCTTCACAATACGATTAAGTAATTTCGCCGCTAAATAGAGTTTTGTTGGCTTTCCCAGTTTATATTGACTTGATCTACTGTTTTTAGATTCGACGTCCAGTTCACGTGCAAGTACAATGTTTCAGTCAGTGATCTTCTGCTGCGATATATTGAAACGGTGGATATTAATACATTTTGTCGCATGCATCATAAGATACGCAGATTCATCCCATTAAACAACTTTCTGCAGTAGTAGTTGCTGCATTTAGGCAGTCAGCAAGGCAGAATTCTATGTATGAGTCATTCGACCTTGCCGTTTAACTTGAAACTTGCCTTTTGCTTCCGAATTAAGCAGCATTCGAAATATCTTGCTGCAAATCGACTCGTCTCCCAATTTCAGCCAGCAACGTCTCTATCCAAAAGTCAACAAACATTATATGCACTATGATATACTTTGAGAACGAATTTGGCTGGCGATGGGGGGCCTTCGTTTTGCCGCCATTTGGAACTAACAACATCCATTTCGTCAACTGACTCAGATTCGCTTTACGGAATATGAAAGGTACTGTCCACGTCTCGCTCTCGCGGCCCTACCTCTCGGCCATTTCGTAGTTGCTAGCAACGGCAACGTGGCTGAGAATACACTCTACCATACTGCTTAACAAATTAAAATATTATTAGAATCTGTGCACTTCCAACAAATATTTCCTGGTATATTTTGCCAGTTCAAATGGAAAAATTGCAGGAAGATGCCTGCATCCGAAATAGATGAGAAACGTTTCAGACAGGATTATTTGCTATGTGTAAAGCAAATAGTTTACACTTTCTTAGACGAGGCAAGAACTCTGACTACTTGGGCATGAATTAAGAACCGAACTACTTAAACTAAACGGGCTGTAACTGTGTCCACGATTCAGCATATCGATAAAAATGATGGCAGTAGTATTCCCTGCACTTCACGATAAATAAACATACGAGGACTTGCTTGTAAATATTTTGTTGATTGCTATTACTTTGGAAATTATGGAATCTTTCGATTAAAAAGCTGAACAAGTATTCAGTAGACTTAAAATGCATTGTAATGTAGCAAAGACACAAAATGCAAAAATCTGGTACTCACAGCATGCATCTGGTGAGTGAAGGTGACTGTGACAGGCGAAAAAAACCGAAAGTAAGGCGCAAAATAAAATGAACTAAGGAATAAATGGAGATGGTTTAATGTTACAATATTGATTGCGCTTCAGTATAATGTTACTTGTAGGAGTCAGTCTTGGTTCAGCTTCATCAATCGATTGCCAGCAATTACAGGACATTGGCTACAGGTGAAATAAGCTTGAAGTCTTTACTTGACTTTCAAGTACAAAACATAAAAGACGAAGTGGACTTGATCGGTGAGTGCTCATAAGGTTGGTCTCACGGCGAATGCGGCAAAAACTCAATTATAGGCGCTGAAGAAATATTCGACGCTGTCGTGATAGGAACTGCCGCGTTCGCTATCGAAGCGAAGATACCGATGACTCGATTTTCGAATATCTACGAGGTAGCAATCTGAGTGATTGTTACAGTCTGGTCAAAAGTCTTGTTCGGTTTATTTAGTTTCTGCACAATCTTACAACAGCAAGTATCGCACGTAGAAGTGTAATGCATTTGTTCGCAGTTGTCCTTAAATGCTTGTTACCCATTTTCATATACCTACAAGTTTCAATCTTGTCCGTTCCTATAATACATCCTCATTCCTTTTACAGTTAGCATTTTTTAGCAACTAGTTGTAATCATCCAAGAATTTAATTATTATATCAGAGATTGCCGGGATCATATGACGGTAGGTATGCGACATTTTCCTGGGAAAGATTTCCTTTTGAATCACACAAGCACGCCATTCAGATATTCGGTCTGATCCTATGCAACTCTTAATATTCATTACCTATGCAAGAAAAGCAATGTTATTCAGGGTCAATGTTTACTTTAGCCAGACATATTTGCATCTAGGTGTATAGTATGTGAATTTAAAGATAGTTAAAATAAGTAAAATGTTGAATTTAAAGAAAGCAACATCTCATACACTCATTGAACAATGATTCATTCTGGATCATTACATAGGCACATTACTAATGTTTTTGATGCGAGAAAAACGGCACTTATAGACAACTCAGATTTTACCCTTTAGGAAAAGGTTAAAGGGCTTCAGTTCGCTGTGAATGAAAAACTAGAAAATGGGCGAAAGCAAAGAAACAAAAACAAGATGACAAACGACGGTGAAAATATTCTTACGGTTTCGTTGCTTAGAGGTCACGGTTTAAAGAGCTGTGTGCAAGGTTCTTTTTCTAGTTTATTCGTGACAAATATAAGCTAATATCGAATTTCAGGCCTTGCTCCATCGACATATGCTACATACCAAATTTTTGACTACCCTGACCATGACACGAACACCTTTAATAGAAGCGCTTCGCCCTTATTTGATGATCATAAAAGTTGGCCTGTGCAAATGAACGAGGCTACGGAATCGTATCTGCGAGACAACGTGAGTGATGACTTGCTGCTTTTCATGCAAACGTGGAATACTGACTCCTAGCAAATTGCGACAGAATTCAACCAACCGCTCGATTGACGTAGCGTCTCAACTAATTAAAGATGGCAGTACTTTCTGCTTAGGCTTACGGCAGTACCGTAGGTTAACGATTGTATAATCATTTAATGTTGATTACAAGTTCTTGCAGAATTCAAAGCAGTTTCTCTGGTGAAACTTAATTTCTTAATTGGCTATTTATTTAGCAACTCGTCATTCATATTTTCGATGACGATGCTCCAAATATCGACCTTTCGTACCTGGGAGAAGTTGCAATTCCACTTCTTCCTCTCATTTCGAAAAAATCGCTGTCTGATTCATTTCCTATCAAAAAAGTATGACTCGCAACCTTCAGTTTCTCGATATGACTAGATTAAAAATTTTAGGCTCAGGAAGTTCGAGGGATGCTTGACGTTACGCTACGCTGGCAATTTTCATACAGTGCGGCATCAAAGAATGGTCAGACTCAGGTAAGCTGCTTAAATTGCTGTTAAAAATGTGTCCACGTTTCTCTGTGCAAATGGTTCTGAGTGACACTAGACGCTCCTTTTATTCTGACGTTTCGGCTTTCGGCGCAGGAGCTATCATTAGAGAAAATTTTTACAACGTTATGTCAAATGAAAAATGACGTTCCGAAAATGCTTCTCTTAGTTTACACTTTCTTAAGCTGCTCAGCACAGTCAACACTTAACGTTTCTATTCTTGCCAACTATCACATATTTTAGATTAAGTTTGGCGATGCCATTCAGGTTCATGCCATTGAACTTTGGCGATGCCATTGATTTCAGGTTGATCAGTAAACCGCTGGTGCATTCGCTAAATAAATAAATCCCAATTCTTGGGCTGTCAAAGGTGCTTAAACACTTACGATGCGAATTACTTCCTCTTCCAAGGTCAGTTTTAGACATATTACTAAGCCTTTGATTCTACAAACTTCATATACCTATTACGAATTTCCTATCATGAATTCATTTAGCGCATAACAGGACGAGAGTTTCATTAAAAACAACGCCATGAGGTGATCAGTCCGGTGATTGACAGATACAGATGATTCTATTTATATTTCACGGACTTCCGTAAGCTGCAAATGAAGTTCCGTGATTGTTCGACTGCATCAAGCGCTACGATGGAGCAGAGAGGCCAACTTTCGGTTTGCGTTGCCAGTGCATTGGTTTACCGGCAACAAGCGCGTCAGGGCGTATCCAATCAGCTCAAACTTCATATCCGTTGTCACGGTTGAAACTCTCGCAGGACTCAATGAATCATGCCCGGATATTCAATAAAACTGTATTATCCTGTTTTGTCAGCATAACCATCTACACATGAACCAACTTATCGGTCATTGGAACTTCATTTGGCACATAGTCAGCCCCTTCTCTTCTAACAGACTTTCCATAGTAAATGAGTTTATGGACTGATCAAATTTTTCCTAAGCCAATATAATTACGTTCTTTGAACGATGCACAATAAAGTTTTTAAGTACGACTCTATGAGGTAAATAGAAGTGTCGTAAAATAGCATAATTGCATAAATATTATGCCGATGCTTTCGAAAATGTTTTACAATTCTCTAAGTGATTTTACAATTGTGCAGAGCTTCATAAAAGACACTAAAGGCTGATCGACAATCACGTTTTAGGAATCTTTTCAACTGGAGTCCTTGAAATCACCTAAGGTAACGAAACAGCCTGATGATGAGAAGCGAACCAGGAACATAGAATGCAGTGATCCGGCTGAAAATGAATCAGGAAAGATTCTAGAAACTCGTGAAGTTCAGACACAAACCGCAGAAATGGCCTTACCGGAAGCTTTGGACGACGGCATGGAAATGACTAAGGCCAAAGCATCATCAGATCTTTTGGATGAAGCATCGTGCACCTACTCTTTGAATGACATCAGTGAATCCGTTTCGGAAAATGAAATCGCGGAAGGTGAAACGGATTTAAACTTGAGCAGAAAAACGACCGCAGCCTCAGACTCAGCCTCCAACTCTGACTTGCCATTGGTAGTGAAATCGGAAGACAAAGCCATAGAGTTAACCGAATACGCTCCGATCGAGCAAAACGTCCAAGAGGCTCTTGCGCCGGCAAATTCTGTTGGAGAAAGTGTTGGCAAGTTGCAATGTTAATTTAAGCTAATATTAGATGTTTCAGAACTCTCCACAATAGAAGAAGTTACTTCGTCTGAAAGTGATATTTGAAAGTATGCTTCCCGTTTCGTCATCGATTAAACACACACTTTCGATTGATCGCACTTTCATATCTTTAAAACAAAGGCGTCCGTTGTAACAAGGAGAAAGCTACAACTGCAAATGACTGCTGAATTAACCACATGGTTACTTTCTTGCCTTTAACGCTTGTTAAATTATGTAATGTCAAGGTAGCCACTGTTTTTAGGTTATATCAAACTTTTGAAAAAAGGCGTTTTGTTAGAATGGCTTTCCATTTAGCGTTGTTATGCTATTTCTCGAATGTATCATTTCAAAAAATATATAACTTTGGAAAATTTTCTTGTTTTCTTCAAATTTGCCCTTGAGAGGAGTCGAATAAGAAGCTCATGTAAAATGTAGGTAACATAATAAAACAACAGAAGCATGTTACGGTAAGGAGGTCACTGCAAGTAGCCAACCATAAATAAATCAACAAAAGTGGCACAGAGTAACTTGGTCCTCGTAAATAGATGAATATAAGTATTTCAAAATAAGTAGGACATCAAAACTATGTACCTGACGGTACCATTGGTAGGACAAGAAAATTAGGTCATCATAAGCAAGTAATCATAAATAGGGCACCGTAAATAGGCTATTGTAAGGTCACTGCAAGTATCTTAGATCATTTGGAACAGCCGGTAGGAGACGACGATTCGCACCAACGGCAACACGTCCGCCTTTCCTCGTGTCTTCCAGTCTTCTCTGTCACAGTCTGAAAGCGCTGTCTTCCCGACTCTTGATATAGTCCTACCACCGTCCCGGCAAGCGAACTTAGCGGCTTGGTCTGTCCACGAGGGTACGAGTCTCCCGTCGGTGAGCAGAGCAACGTGCCCGTCATACTGCAGCGTCTCCTTTTCACTTTCGACGATGACGGCTTCACTCTGGTAACATTATTGGAGACGTGGTAACGACACCAGATTCCTAACATTCTTCTTTCCGTGGCTCTATCGGTAACGGAGAGCTAGCGCTCTTAGGCTTCGTGAGGGACAACATCTCACTGTAATACAACATCGTCGGCAGGGCGGTATCTTTCTTGCTGTTGTCGAGGACGAGTCCTCCTTGGAATGGAACGCGTCATCCAGTCATCTTTCTCTGTAAGATATCTCCTGCCTGGTCATGTCGCATGATGAGCACTTTGCCCAGGTAAGGGTAGTTATCGACTGCTTGGAACTATCTTGCGGCTTAATATTACCGCGGTCTTTGGCAAGGAATCTGATCATAGTATCTTCGTTCTTCACCGATGAAATCGCAGTCCGACTTCTGCACTTCTTTTTATGAAGCTGTTGCAACGCGACTGTGGCTGCCTGACTTTTTCAGCAAATAATGCCACGTCATCGGCGAACCTTAGTTGGCTGAACTGTTAATCATTTATGATAATCCCATCCCTCCAATTCGTCATCCAGAACATCATTTCCAAACAGACAGTGAAGAATTTGATTGAAGTGTTCACTAGTTTCACATCATTCTCTGCGGGAGTCCGGAAGAGGTGTCGAACAGCGTGACGTTTGTGAAGAAGCCACAGTTTGATTCCTTTAGCATGATGATATACGATTGTCGATGCCCTGTTCTGCCAATGGAGTCCACACTGCGCTGTAATCGACAGTGTCGAACTCTTTCTTACAGT